TGTTCGCACAGTTTTGTCCTACGAATATTGTCAGTGCACGGGAACGTCTTCTGCATCGAGGGAAAGGCCGGAAGGGTTCGACTCTGTGCTGCTGCTTTAAAAACGGGTATATGCAGGATAGGTAGCTTTTTCAAAACAGATTTTCTCTTGCTTTTTTTTTTTTTTTTCCTCCATGGTTTTCTGCTGTCCCGCTTTTTTGCCAGTTATATCTTCCAGCTTAGAGACACACTGGTTCTGGTTTTAAGTCAGATATATTTGTTTTCTGCTGAACATAGAATAAAGAAGAATAGGGTGGCATTCCTATCCACCAAAAAGAGACTGGACTGCTCTCTTTCTGAGATGCAAATGTGCATGAAATCTTAGGGGCAGTGGCTGCCCTGCAGTGTTTGGGGGAGGCAGTTTTGCAGAACACGCTGGAAAGTTACGTAAGACACAGCGGTGATTACACTGTTTGTATTCCTTTGCATACAGAGTTTACACTGACTTCCAGAAAGGTAAGCTTTCACAACAATTCTGTGTAAATGATCCATGAAAAATAAAGCATGGTTTAGTGACATGGTTGTGCACGTTGAATAGGGAAATGCTGGTAGTGCCTGTTTCCAGAAAATTGTAGCTGTCAGTTGTGGTACCTGTGGGTGCTGGCAGAGCTCAGCGTTTTGCACTGCTGTGCAGTGTTTGCCTCCTGGTGAACAATTCCTCGGGGACAGGAAAGTCAAGTTGCTAAAAAATTCTAGCCAGTTCCTTTAGCATCCTATTTAGGAAGAGGAGAAAAGAGACACAAGTCAGTACATGCTGCATGTCTGCAGGACAGCACAAGAGTCTCTGAGGTACCAGTTTTCCAGAGGAAGTGTTAGAGCAGAAGACAGCCTTCCAGGTAAGCAGACAGGGGAGCTGCAATTAACTGCAGGAGGCATAGCTGTGCCCTTGGGTACACAGGGCCCAAAAGTAGAACAAGCAGTGCTGGATAACCTGCAGCACTGAATAGCACCCACGCTAATGTGGGCAGTGGGAGTGTTGGAGATGCAAGATGCCAGCGCCATGTTAGTGAGGTCAGACATGTCCTAACCATCTCCTACATGCTGCCCTTAATGTACAGCTTGACCTCAGAGGCGCTGGCTGACCTAGAGTGAGATCTTACCATGATGTCTACAGCCCCGTCTCACAGCAGTGTTGTCTGAGGCTGCTGGTGAGAACTACATGTCATGCTGAACTTAGAGGTGTGACAGAGAAAATCTGAACACAGCAGAACTGTGTGTGTACACGTGGTAGTCCAGGTGTTGTTTAGTACTTCATGGTAGAATTGGAAGAAAGAAGTGTCATAGCCCTTGGATATTTGAAGATGGTCTCACCAGGGCCAGTGGAGGTAAAGCCCTGGAGAGGGAGAGGACAAAGTATTGCATCTGAGGTGGGAAAAGCAACTGCTAGGCTACAAAAGGGTGCTAAACTCTGATGACCAAAATAAGTTACAGAAGGTGACAAAAATTTTTACTACTTCAGTATGTGACCACTTTGAATTTTACTTGGGCTTCTGAAATACAGAGTACTCAGGTTACTGAGTTTCCTGGTTATCTGACCAGCAGTTGGGTGGGGTCGCACAGGAGGAGTTGCATATTGCTGCTTAGCTTTGCTGTCTGTGTGTGACAGAACAGGCTCTTTGTCTCCATTGCTGACTTCTTGCCCACTATCTTGATTTATCCTGTTGGCAGCAACACGTGGCACCAGTAGGCTGGCTCAAGACAACTTTCTAACAAAAAACTTTGCCAACAGGGAGAGTCATGTAGTGTTGGTGTACTGTATTCCCATTGTCTGGTTTGTGCTGGAGCTGCTGGAGTCAGGGTGTCACAGTCCCACTGGCACCGATGACACAAACAGTAGGTGTGAGGTGGCACCCGTTGGAGAAACATGTTTTATGAAGTGGCAAGG